GGACCGGGGGGACGGGCCGCACCGGCGGGGGGCAGGCGCCGCGGACGTTAGGCGCCGCGGACGTTGTCGTGGGGACTACCGTGTATTTTATTTTAGTCTGCTTTCATTTTACTCCTTTATTTTCTTTTATTCTATTTCATTATTTTATTTAGCTTTATTCTATTTATTTAATCTACTTCATTTATTTTCTTTTATTCTACTCTGTTTTATTTTCTCTTATTCTATTTTGTTTATTTTCTCTTATTCTGTTTATTTTCTCTTATTCTGTTTTATTCTACTTTGTTTTCTTTTATTTTCTCTTATTCTATTTTCTCTTATTCTGTTTTGTTTGTTTATCTTATTCTGTTTTGTTTGTTTATTTTCTCTTATTCTGTTTGTTTATTTTCTCTTATTCTATTTTATTCTACTTTGTTTTTGTTTATTTTCTCTTATTCTGTTTATTTTCTCTTATCCTGTTTATTTTCTCTTATTCTGTTTTGCTTGTTTATTTTCTTTTACTCTATTTTATTTTCTTTTACTCTATTTGATTTATTATTTTTATTTTTCGAGAGCTGGGGAGAAGGGCCAGCCCATAGCCGTACCCCAGCCCAGGGGATGCTCGGCACTGAGGGGCTGCAGCCCCCGCCGGCGCCTTACTCGGCACCTTGGTGGAATTAAATAATCCATTAAAATCGGGAGAACCCGGCCGCAGAGCGTGGCACGCCGCGGCGGAACTGACAGAGCCAGGGGAAAGTTTGCCTGAATTTTTAACGCGGTGGGACAGAAGAGCGTGAGGAGGTGCCCTGGAAAGGGCAGAAATGCTCAGAAATCAGAAGCAAAAATTAGATTAAGGATCAGGAAACCTCCAGATCCGGCCGGATTTCACGGAGCAACGGCTCCGGCGTAAGGTCTGGGGAAGGGACCCCCTCAGTCCCCAGAGAAGAGGAGCCAGTCCCCAGCAGCACCCTTAACAAAAAAACGCTTTTTTCCTCACATCCTCAGCCCTCCCTCGAGCATCCTTCCACCCCCAGGTCCCTTCAGACCATCCTCCGGCACCCCAATAACTTTCTTATTTTCCTGATTTGAGTCTGTCGGGGGGGAGGAGGGTGGTTTTGGCACCACCGGGAACCAGCCGCGGCCTCGGTCCTGCCCCGGCTCACGGCCCAAGCTGGGTTTGAGGCCGGGACGGTTGGTGGAAGGGGAACGGCTGAAGGGAGCTGCGCGTCCTTGAAACTCAGTCATAAAAAAGGAGAAGTAGCAGGAAACGCAGCTGCTGGTTCAAAGGGAAATTTTCACAAACAGCAGAAGGAGGGAAGTCGAACGCAGGTGGTAAGTCCCCGGGAAGCCCCAAACCAAACGGTGCCCAAAAGCACAGCCGTTCCCCTCACCCCACAGAGCTCCCTCCCGTCCGGCACTCGCAGCATTTTTCCTACGCTCCTACCCCGTCGCTGGCACCGCAGGGCAGCTCGCCGCTCTCCCGTGCGGGTTCCCCCGCGACCACCCCAAATCGACAGCCCCGCAGCCCCAGCTCAGCTCCACCCGTGGTGCTCAGGGACCCCCCGGGAGCCTGCAGCAGCACCCACGGGTGAAGGTTTCGGCTTTTCCATCCTGACCTCTTGCTGGCTCTTCTCTGCAGCTTGGATGTCCCTGCAGAGCAGCTGATCCCGCCTTCTGCTCCCAAGAGCGGCCTGTGGTCACAGCCCTGGCACGGGGGGGGGGCTGGAGCCCCACAGAGGAGCCGGGGCAGCTGCTCCGGCATTGTTAGTGCCTCTCCAGAGAGCGCAGCTGCTAATGGTTGGGTACCTCCAAGGAAGAGATGCTGCTCCCATCAAGACTTGGCATGAAACTGTCGCAACCACAAACCTCGGGGGTGGCACTCTCCTGTCCTTGCAAGGATGGTGCAGAGCACCGTTTCCTTTATGTGCTTGTTCATAACATACCGATAAGGACGGATTTTGTCCAGTTGCTCAACGGATTTTGACGCGACGTAAGCGCAGAGAGCAGGGCAAGAGCCTGTCTTGCTGTTCGAAGCCAGAAGTGCATGATGCCGGCTTCGCTGTAAACTCCTGCATTGACCAGTTAAGGTCCTGCAGCTCCTTAAATACTCGATGTTCACTCCAAATGCTTCCTGGGTTTGGGTTTTTTTCACACATTTTCAGAGAGATGGGTGTTTGTTGTTGTTTTCATCCTGTTTCATCAGATTTGTGCAGTCCTACAATGCGGCAGAGGGATTTTACTGGATGTCAGGCCAAGAGGAAGAGACAGAAGAGGCTGATTTCTGACCTTAAGTTTCTAGACATCAAGACCAGAGCTCTAATTTTCACAAGTGCTTAGATTTTAGCTGCAACTGCGATCCAAAAAAAAATATATTAATGCAGCTTTAACTGAGATTGTCTAAATTATATTTTTTTTGCCTGTAACTTTTGTGTTAGTGACAACTGTTGTCTGCAATGCTGCCTTCCAAAGGAGTGCTGAAACGTGACAGCCTGACCAGTTAGTTATTCAAAGTGTGTAGGAATCAAAGTTTTGGTGCCTATAAAAATCAGGTCAGTTTAGAATACAGGAGATGTAGAACAGCATCATTCCAGTCTCCCTCACTATAGACTCCTCTTCTGCTCATGTACTTCACACCTTTGAGCTGCTGCCGCTGACAGAGCGGGTATGTGATGCACACTTTAGGGATACAGGACTGTCAGGACTCCCCCCACCGATGCACACCAGTCCCCAGCTGATAAAAACCCACCACTCCACACAGCGGTGTTAGAAATGACTTCTTACCTCCTCCCAAAGTTTTGGAATGAGATTCTTCTTAGCTTCCCCAAAGACACAAGCATTCAGAGCTGGGGTACATCCACGTCATGCTTTTGGGTCCATACAAGCTGGAAGGGTCTTATAAAAGGACTATTTACAAAGCCAAAAATTTAACTTTGTTTTGAAAGTTTATTGGATCATCTTGACACAAAATCATTACAGCAGCTTGTGGTATGTTGTTTTCTTTTTTTTTTTTTTTTTAAGGGAATGTTGATAGCAAATAAATTTGTGAATGTAACACATCATACAGTTTCAAAATTCTAGAATCACTGCACAGGATTCCGTAAGAGAAGACTCTACATGCTAAAGTGACAGTTTTCATCCATGAATTAAAAAAAACACTAATTGAGGAACATTATCCTTTAAGACAATTTTAATATGTTCAGTTTCTAATACACAAACTGGCTAACCAAGGGAGGTTGACCAATACCAAAAACTACCACTTCACCAGCAGTGAAGCCTGCTGCAAACGAATTCCTGCAGCGCACAAGTGTGGTCAGAATACGAAGCTGGTCCTAGCAATAAAACCAGAGCAGAGCCTTTGCAAAAATACCCTAATACGGGAAGAGTGTGAAGAGCACAAGACACGCTTTAAGTACAGGACATTCACCCAAAGGAGAAGATCAACACTTTATCCCGTTTCCCGCCTAGTGTTTTAGTTCAACTCTACTGGGCACTGCTGATGCCTGTCGGAGTGGTGGTGGTGCTGGAGAAGTGCAGACCAACCCAACTCCTCCCTGGGGACCCTTCAGCTATTCACCTGTGCCTCAAAGCAAAACCGTTCAAGCGTGTTCTCAGTTTGCTGGGTATGCAACAGCAAGTAAAAGAACTGGGTGAAAAAAAAAATAGAAAAAATTGAAAGCAAGAGATTTTGGAGAAGGACATCAATTAAGCATCTCTGTAAAGGGCACAGTGACATCCCTTTCCAGTCAGTGATTCTACAAGATTTCAATAGTGCAGAATGGGCTTCACTTCGTAGACCCTCCCTTTCTTCCCTCTAAAGTAACATGCTACAGACCCAGGTCTGCAGCTCCTCACCAAGGCCTCCCTCCTGCCATCCAGGCAGGGAGACTTCTGCTGCAGGGACCCAGTTACACTTGCGCTGCTAAATCTGCATCCACTGCTGTGAGGGCAGGGCCATGGGACGCTACGGGGACAACTGAGACAGCACAACATCTCTGATTTCACAGCACAGAGGGAGGGAACAGGGCTGTTATCTGCAAACTGTTCAGAATACAAGGGATTACACACGTGGGCGTTTCTCTAACCTGGTAGTGGTCAACCTCAGCTGGTGAGCAATATGATAAAAAAGCAGGAACAGACCCCTTCGGATTTCCAGTTTCTTGCTACACCCTAACTTTTCAGGAATGTGAAATTGAAGTGGACTCATAAAACACATCAGCAGAGACTGCTCAAAGGGGAGAGGCATGATAGACTCCATTTGCGGGGGTGGTCAACAGGAGCAGAGAACCAAACAGTAACACTTCCAGCCTGTTTCATGCATTCACTCTCTACTCTTTCAGCTGTCACTAAAAGAAGGTTAAGGCTCAAGGCAACTACTATAAACAGAAACTCAAACATCCCAGTTCTCACAGGGCTCATTTGGATTAGCTCAAGGAGATGGAGGATGTTTATATGCTGATCACAATAGATCTTGAGATAATAATAATAATAATAACAAATCATATATATAAAAAAAAAAAAAGAGAGGCCTTCAGGTCCAGCACCAGCCTCTGCTAGAAATATACATCAACTACAGCAGCCCTGAAGCCATATTCCATGGCTAAGAATCAAGTCAACCTTCCCTGGCAATAAGCACAAGCAACAGACTCTGTGCTACTGTTGATAAAATTCTGCTTAGTCCACCATCCCACGCAGATGGCAAGGTTTATGGGATCATCATGAGCTGCTGAATAAATAGCGCCACTCCCTCCCTCCCTCCCTCCTCCAGTCATGTCACCAGGATCTCTTTGGGCTAGAAAGGGTTAACACCACAGTTTGTAAAAAGTTTTGAAATAAAAAGGTAACATACAGCCTTAAAATGTCTAAACTGCAAACAATGGTGGAGTTAACTGAAAAGCACGTGCCCCAGGATAGTACATGCGTACGAGGGAGAAACTTAACACTTGGGTCTGCTCGTCTTTACACATTAGGTGTGTTTCTTGTAGTTGGAATATTTCGTAGGGAATATTCAGCACTTGGACAATGTCTCTTTCATCTCATCCAACAAGTTGCTAAGCAGGGTGGAATCATTACATTTCCCATCTATGGATACAGAGTTCTCTCCCTTGGAAAGAAAAAGAAAAAAGAAATCCATTAGCTTCTCTTCTAAGCGGGGACAATTTTATTCCCAGCCAAGCTCAGGGACTGCAAACAGCCGGTGAAGCCTTTGCCAGGAACGAAGCAGGCTTAGCCGAGAGGTCAGTTTGGGGAAGCCATCAGTGCTGCTACTACCCACCAGGTATGCGCGGGGCAACAGAAAGCCCATGGGGAGGTACAAGATTGGTAGTAACACAGTGAAAACAGCTAGATGGGCCAGATAAATTAAATTGCCCATGGTGTCCCTGGATGATTTAGACAGGAATATTTCCTCTTTCTGTTAAGGCAGAAGGCTGCAGATTTAGCTTCTCTCGGGTCTTGTTTCAGAGTGGTACAATGCTCTCACCTTTTTTACCAGTAGGCAGACGTGATGGCCTTGGATAGAACGACTGTACATTGATGCACATGAATCAACGCGTTCCACAACTATAAAGAAAACAGGAGTTTTCATTTAGCGAGACAATTTTAATACAAGGTTTGCTTCCCATGAAGAGGAACTACTGCTTTGCCTGGCCTCAAGGACTAGAAGCTTCTACTGAGTGAGGGGAGGAGTAGTCAGGGTTAAGATGATGTATGTGCCTGGCTGCTACCTGGGATATTTCACAATAATGAGGTTAGTCATTTAAGTAAGCTGCAAATGTTTTGTGGCAAAAACACTGATCAGAACGTACATCTCTTCCCCAGAAATACTTTCAGTGAGGCAACATCTAATGCATACACCAGAGCATGATGAAACAGCCATTTGTTTTGCTTCATCCAGTACTTGTATTTTAATTATTAAGTCCAAACTTGAATAGCTCACGCTCTCCCTTACTGAAACGAAGCACTGGGGAAAGAGGTAGGCTGAAGCACTGAAGATCAAACAAACCCTCCAGAGAACAGTTACAGCCCTAATTATATGCAAGCTGCTCCCGTGATACCTGCCACATACCTTGCTGGACTGGAGGAAAGCCACAGGGACAGAAGGAGAGTTCATTTTGAAGAACATTGCATGTTTTGAGGATACCAATGTATTACAAGACTGGAAAAAAACCTCCTCTCCCAAATTTATTTAATCTGGACACCACCTGCTTCTGTCATCGTTGAGGCCACGGAGCGTTGCACTTGCCAGGCACAGCAGAAATTTTAGAATACAGAATTTTGCAGAAGGTTCTGCATCGAGGAAGACTCACCTGAAAAATGATGATGAAAACAGATCTTTGCCAGTAGATGTTGGAAAGAAATGCTAATTCCATCTACTTTAATAGAACTGATGTGCAGATCTCCAGACTCTAGGAGCTTGGCAAAAGCATCACTGCAAAACAGGAAGGAAAGTAAACACCTGTGCTAGAAATTCAAGTGAAATCTGCCACATTAGCCCCATGCAGACCTTGAGACAACTCAGGATGCAGACGTCTAAGTACTACCAAGCTCTAGGAAAATGGGTTTACAACAAATATGGGAACCATACTCCAGACTCCACTGGAGTACCCTGGGACCTCAACCAGAGCTACTTCGACATGACCTCTGCCAGCCTACAGGGCATATAGCTCCTTCTCCAGAATCACTTAAAATATGTCCAGCAACATATTTCAACAGTCAAACAATCCACAAGATAACTGAACTGTAATCAAAGCAATCACAAGCAGTCAAAGTCAAAAGCATGCTGTGTATCTTGCAGAGATGGCCTGCAGCCAAAGCTTAGCTTCACATGGGCAGCAAAAGCACCAATGTTGTGCTCCCTAAATGGCACTTACCTATAGCAAGGCGTCGTGATCAAGTATGAAGCGCAACTGAAGTGCAATTTGAAATCTAGTTTTTCATGGGTTGAACCTTCATCATTCTGCAACAGGTCAAAGGAAAGGAGATGAATGGGAGCCCCAAGGCAGCAAGAGGAGGCACCACCCCCACCTACCAAACAGGCACCAACGAAGACTTCAGGGCTCAATTCCCTTTGATATACCCTGGCTGGGCCTGATGGATCAGTGTGAGAACAACCGTCGCGCTACAACATCAGGCCACTTACAGAAAAGATTTGGGCAGCTAGGTTGATACATAGACCTAGATAAGGGACACAACTGGAGGGATTGGGCTGCATTTTTGATTGCACTCTGCTGAAAGACACTGAGCAGACTGAATTTAAACCAACACTTGGAGATGTGGTTTTACAGTTCACCATTTCCCAAGCAAAATAATAAATTAGTATCTCCCAGATTCTTAGGTACTGAAAATAGGACTAGTATACTATCTTCAAGAAACCTTTAAAATAGAGATAATGGCTGACTCAGAAGTAGCCACAACTGTCTCCATTCACTTCCTTCGAGCTGTTCATGCAGCTGCTTCGTTAATAATTTTACTGAAGTAAGATCAGAAACCCACATAGTCTTATACAGGTCGATACTTATTCAACAATGCCTTCAGCTAACCTCACTCTTGTTCTGGGTTTCCATCCTTATTAACTGTATCTAATTCTTACTACTATTTTTCCAGCCTTGTACAAGGTAGCCATGTCCAACTGATCTTTGGATAACTGAGATCAGAGGAAACAGACTGGGTTGCATCTCTTGCCAGTTGGTTGACCTCCTCTCCCCGGCAGATGCACCACTGCAGTGATTTTCTAGCTGACAATGTGGCATATGTTTCAGGCTGCATTGCTCACACACTGCTGGGAATGACAATTTAGGACATGCTTACGCAGTATTCGGGACACTCTTTGCACAAGATGTCATGTAAAAATACTTCTCACATCACAGAATGGGCTGGTGCAGCAGAGATGAAATGATGCCTAAAAAAGCTCTAAAGCAGTGCTTTCCACCCAAGTCAAGCTCCCTTATGCAGTTCCAAAGGAAGCAGAAGCACAGAGTTTAAAGCTGCACTTACTTTGACTATAAAGGACAGTGTTCCTTTTAACTTCTGAGCCATAACAATACTCTGAAGTGTAAACACAAACTGGGCTTCATTAGAGATTCCTAGCGTGAAGAGAGGAGAGGGAGAAGTCAAGTCAGAAAATGGTTTCCGTATCTAAGTAATGGTTAGAATAAGCTAATCAGTAGCAGCTAAGCTTTATGTGCTGACTATTTTTGAACCAGGTTTGAAATTTTCTGTGTAGTGGGAAGAGAGTATGCACAATTCCTGTTGTGAATTAACAGTGTTATAGCACTTAGCTCTTGGTTCTCTGAAAAGCAGCTGTGATAGCTGGCATTTGGTAGAGGTTGAGTGAGTGCCTGGGCAAAGTATGTCGCAGTGGCAATATATTTAAACTGTTTGTATAGCTGGGAAATATAGAGCTTTCCAAGTAGTTTTCAGAACTAATTCGAATTCTATATGTTTTTCTTTTAATATACAAGTCCGTGTCAAGAACTGCCTTACACAGAATAAAAAAAACCCCAAACCCCACTGCTTTTCACAGGGGATCAAAATGCACCCTGAAGCCACTAAATCCCAGAAGACTTGTGTGAGCTGTTTCAGTATTCAAATTAACTCTTCAGTGAAGGAACTGAAATTCAAAGAAGTTTAGCGATTCAACTGTACTATTGTACTATGTATGAAGCCGTTATCGTTCATCTCTGTGTCTAGTATTTCTTAAGGGCTCAGCTCCCCATCCAAATAAGCACATACTTGTCACAAACTTTCACTGCATATGGCCTCTTCCATTAAAACAGTGGAACAATAGCTTGAGAATAAATTCAGAGTGGATTCTAATGGTTCATGAACCTATAGCTTTGTTTCATTTTAAATCTCATAGCAAACTCCTTATGAATTTTGGACTCCTGTAGTTGGCAATGCTGGCACGTTCAAAGGTGTGCCAGTCCGCAGTCACCTGAAAAAGGAACTCAGACATTTGGACTCCCAGTCCTACATTATAGGCTTTGCTCTTGCTGTACAGAACCACCTGTGTTTATAGCCATACTGTAAGAAGGCTTATCCTCTCCAGTGAATTGTGTGAAAGCCCAGCGAACACCCAGGCAGAGGGACATGTCTTTCCAGAAAACAGCAAGTAGCAAGAAGTTCAAACAATTCTTTCCACAGGAGGGCAGTGCAGGACTAGACATACTCCAAGAACTCTGTGCAAAGCTGCGCATACCAGGGGGGAGCTGAAAGGGCACAGGTATCCCATCATGTACTGATGATCCTTCTGGTCGGAGCATTTTAGTGTTGAGAGAGTCCAGGACATTTAGTTCCATGCTCTTAAGGAAGCTAGTGCTTTTGTTCTCAAAGATAACAGAGACAGTAACTTGACTATCATTCTGGAGGTTTCCTTGAATATCGTAGGTCTGCAAATCAAGGGGAGGGGGGAAATCACAGGAGATTCAGAAACTTCAAACACCAGAGCACCAGAACAGAACATAGCATCAGAATAAAGCAAGCTTCAAAATGAAGGTAATTTGGTACAGCTATAGGACCAATGAAAAGCACACTGGTGATCAGCTCCACAGTACTGCTAAGCAGTGGGAAAATATCAACTTGAAAACTCATTAAAAGGGACATGAAAAGGAATGGAAATGGAGCTTTGTTATATTTATACCTCCTGGGATTTAAACGGTTCTCCAGTTAAATGTTGCCTACATAAAGTCGCTATACCATCCCCAGGGTATCCCCTCTTTTCTTGGAGAACACAGAAAGAGAAGACATCTGGATTTAAATGCCAAAAACCTCACCATTTTAATATATGGATTTTCAGCAAGAAGGCGGTAACTGGACATAGGCTGAAAAACAAAAAAGAAATCACAGTCGCAATATAACTAATTTCTCTGATAAGAGCTGTCATTCTCCTTCCTCCCCAAACAGTTTAGCTCCCACCTTTTCCCCAGGGCAAGGGCTGCCAGTGCACCGCTACTTACTGGTAGTGGTTCATCATCTAGTGTTCCATTCTGCACTGACTCTGTTGTCTCCTCCTCACTGTGATGACTCTTCTTTTTGGATTTCTTTTTATCCTTTGATTTCTCATCTTTCTCTTTCTTGTGCTTTTTCTTCTTATGCTTGGAGGATTTCTACCAAGAAGAAAAAGAAACTATAACAAACCCTTAAAAAACCCCAACATTTCCAGCCATTACATCATGACCCCTTTGCAGATCTTTCAACTATTGACTCCCACTCTATGCAGCCTTCTGGATGACCGAACAATTTCCTACTACTGCAGAAACCTGAAACAGAGTCCCCATTCCTTAAACCCCAACAGTAATTCTGTGTTGAGTCCCAGTAAACCCTTGCTCCCCACTCACGTGACAATACCTTAACGCGAAGCAGCCTGGGATCAGCAGAAGGCCCAATCTCTTCAACTGTTTAGAAGCTCAGCTTTAAAACTGCTACCTGACTCCCTGGCTCAAGGAACAAACAAACCTCTTACTACGAAGAGTTTAGAGCTCTGCAAGGGCGTAACATCCCACTGCTGCCTATTTGCAAGTGGTCACTACACTGGATAGGATGCTGTTGGTAATTCCTGTGTGCTTGTTTTTAAAGAATACAAGACACTAGGAGAATATGGCTAAGGGTGATTGCAATTTAAACCACTTACCTTTCCTTCACCCTCCTCCTCCTCTTCCTCTCGCTCTTCCCTTTCTTCCTTTTTTACCTCTTGAGCTTCAGGCACAACAGCAGCACCCACTTCAGGCTCACTCTGAGTGGATTAGCAGAAGGATTATGACACTAATGGAACACAGTTGAAACAACTGAATCCTACACCAAAAGAAATCTTAACAGTGACACTCCCCCCAACACCAACTGTTATTTCAAAAATTACTTTAGACTAACATGCTATCAAGCCTTTCAATTTTATGCCTCTGCAACCCAGCAAATATGATCACCTGAGGACAAGATACAAAAGGTTTCCTCCAAGGAATCCATCCCCTTATCTTCCCTGTCTCTTCCTCTAAAAATCTTCCATCAAAATTCATGAGACTTTTTCTTTCAGACTGTCTCTCTCATGTCTATTAATATTGCTAGTGTCTGGCTCACACTAGGAAATAAAACCATACAATAATATAGTATTAAAACCCACCAATAATATTAAAATCCACCAAGCCTGTAGCAGCATCTGCATTTCTATCCATTCATCTGCACAGCAGAATGAGCTTGAAACCTCTCATTACAGTGTCTGTAAACTGGGGAGATAAAATGACATTGCTTCACAGCAATAAGTTGAGGAGATGAAGCCTATCTTTCCCTTCTCTCCTGCAGCATGACAAAGCACTCCTATCACAGCTAAGATGCAATAAAAAGAAAAAGTTTCCTGTGATGTGGTAAGATGTCTACCTGTGGCTGGGTAGAGGAAGCAGGTGGTGGAGCAGTAGAGAGCCAGAAATCCAAGTCTTCCCCCTGAATTTCAAGAGAAAACAAAACCATTATAGTTGTTTTGATACCATTCTTTAAAAGAAAAAGAAAAAATTTAAATTAAAACCTTAAGTTTTCATGGAAATGCACTGCTCCAGAATGCCCATACATAGATGCTGCAATGCATTTAGGAGCAAATAGTTCAAGAAGCTTAACTTCAGCCTTTGAGCACACTTCCAAAACTGGACATAGCTGACAGTTAACTTCCAATTACCTTACACAGCAACAACATCTACAGGCATTCAAAGCCCAATTGCTGCATCTTAGAGGAAAAGTGCATCTCTGCAGAGTGGTTAACAAGGATACTTCAAGTCTTCAGAGTAACTGACAACTAATGTCAGGTTTTATAACTGAAAGATTCTGAAGTATATGGAGGACAGGATGTAGAACAAAAGCAAGTTCCAGATATTTTGCTAAAGAGTTCCCCATTCTAAGAACAGACAAAATACCAGTAAACTCAGCTTCCAAATTAGATCTGGAAGATCTGCTGTGTAGGCTGCAGTAAGCTGAATTCTGCTAACTTATGAGGCTAAGTAAATGTTATTTTTATTAACAGAAATCTTTAAATACCTGCTCTTATGGTTGTAAAAATTTAAAGGAAGTAAAGGTTGAAAACATTAAGCTGTTTGACTTATCAAATGTGACGGTTCCTAAGCAACAAACAAAACACAGCAATAAATATGGCCCATAACACCAGCTTCTAAAATAATGCAAGTCTTGGAGAATTACCTTTTTTTCTTCTTCCTCCTCTACTACCTTTTTCTCTTTCTCTTTCTTCTTTCCTTTCTCTCTCTCTTTTTCTTTGTGTTTCTTTTCCTTCTTTTTGGGTTTCTTGCTCTTCTTCTCTACTAGGGGAGCTTCTGAGTCTGGTGACTTTAGGGTCTCAACATTTCTGTGTCTCTGCACTGGCAGCTTCTCACTGTCTGCTAAGGGTCTTAAAAATAAAGACACCATTACCCTTCTGCAAACAGTCTCCCTTAGCTCAGATTATCTGCTGGATGTCCAACACAAGGTATGCTTTGTTTTTAAAGAGTTGGGCCCCAAAATCTGAAATCAGCACATACTTCTGTACCTGAAGTTTATTTATGTAACTGCAGGCACTGCCCTCGTGGATTAGAAGTTAATAGAAATGATTTGAAGGTGACAGAGCAAAGCTCTTGCTGATACCTGATCACTCTTAAAAGTGGTAACTACAGACTTGCCGGCTGAGTAACACCTACAGAAGAATACATACACATAGCATTATGCTACATATCTGTGGAACCACTCTCAAAGGAAGAGCGAAGATGTGAAACAGTAGGAAGCATTTGCAACAGTGTGGAAATTCAAGCAGTGGAATGATAGCATGGCTCAAACTGCCCTTCAAGGGCATGTTTTTTGTTACCGATGAATAGATCACCCCAATTGGAAATTATTTTAAGCAATAAATTGTTTCATTCTGGAAGTTTATGCTATGAATTTGTACTCTACCATTCCATTTAAAAAGTTGTGTTTAATTTCAGCTACCTGTTTCCAAAAAGCAGGAGTAGTAGTACAGATTTACAATGTATCCCAAATCCATTACTTGGGAAAAAAACACCACAGAGATTTCTCCATTCTTGTCAAACACTGTCCAGAAATCAGTGAGAAGTTCACCATTGCCTCTTTTTCTATCTCTACAGCTTTTACTTAACATTAATTTTCATGTTTCAGCAACAAACATCAGTTCAGGAAGATTTCTAATGGTCTCACCTGCCTTAATTTTTTTTGCTTATATTTCATGAAGAACCAGACACAATTAATTTTTTGCTTTGAAACAGACACCATAAAGGCAAGATGGACCCCATCTGTTTGAACAGTAAACAGATCTCATCTTTAAGCTATTTCACATATACCTGTACAGGAACAGTGATTGGTGCTGAAAGTCAATGGTGAAATAGACTCTCACAAATTTGAGGGTCAACGATTTCAGTAGTTTCACCACCCTTCAAGTATTTACGCTGTCCACTGAAATCAACCAACCTGACAAAGAAGGTCAACCACTTAGCAATGTATTCTTACCTGGAAGGCTTCCCTGAAACCAGACTGCATGTGAGCGTGACACAGACATAGCAGTGCAAGCACAGAAAGAAAAAGAGAGGACAGAGACATGAGAAAACGTGACAGGAGAGCACACTGGCTCATGTGAAATGGAGAGAGAATGGATGGAAACAATACAAAAGTCCAAAGATGCCTCCTGGGCACAGCATTCAGAAACTCCTCTACTCAGTGTTTTCCATGCTGTTGAGGCTTGTCATGCAAATATGAGGTCTACAGTCAGAAATTAACTTCCTTTTATATGTGTCCCCTGCAAACTCAGAGGAATGTGACCAGCTCATGAAAAAAGGAAGTTTTTCAGAAACTGTTCTTTCACTTTTTAAAAATGATACATCACTTTTTTGCAAGGTACTGAGGGGCCAAAGCTCTACAGATTTGAGAATTGCAGAGAATGGCACAGAATTTAAAGTTAAGTATCAGAGAGAGAGAGATAGTACACGTGTGCCTGCACTGTCTTGAAAACTTTACAGGAGGCATCCATGGACCATAAATCAGCAATTATTTTTAGCATGGTGATTTTGTAAAACAGCAACTAAAAAAAACCTCCATGTGCAATACTTAACAGCCCACTGCTAATTATCACGTGGCATGCAGGGATTCAGAGTATGCTGCACTGCAGCCTGGGGTGCTAGTACTGTAAACAACTCTGGTAGCTGAATGGGAACCAGACTCTGGTCAAAGTTGTGTTATGCAGTTCACTCAATCATATTAGAACAACATTTTTCAACAGTGGAACCACACTGAATGTCCACAGGGCAATGGGGATGCTACGAACTGGCCGTTACTGGTCAAATGATCACACCACAGAGCATACAGGCTTGCCATGTGTACAGTGGTTCTGGGATGAACACAGATGAAAGCAGGTCACACTCGGTGCCCATGCACATTAGATCAGAGATACTGGCACATCCAAAAGCTCAGACTAACTCTCTCATGTCTGATCCCAGCTACACTGCCTGTGCTTTCAGACTCCATTTGGTCACACAAAATGATCCCCCTGCCCCTCCCAAAACTCCCGCTACTTCAGCAGCGTAACTTTTATCATCTATGCTCCAGTGGGAACCCAAGTCTGGATGATCATCTAAGGTTACATCCAAGACATGGTGAGAGACTTAGTCTTTTCACTTAGTGGACTAAAGGTAGTGCCTTTGCCTGTTTAGTCCCAGACTTGCCCTCATGCATTCTGGTTAGCAATTAAGTAAATTCACATACAAAACTGTCACTTACTTATCCAGATCTATATCAAGTGCCTTATATGGATCATTGGGATCTTTGTCATCTTCATCACTGGGCAAAGCATTCTGCAGGAGAGATACAGAGACCATCCACTGAAGAAGCAAATCACAGGCAATTTCAAAACTGAAGCTTTACATCGCCCAAACCAGTTTAAGATTGTTAACCCTGGAATAGGCCAGCTTGCAGCCAGGCGCAGTAAGTTATAGGAACAATGTACTTTAATGCAGCATTGAGTTACAAGATTAATTTAGAACAGAAAACCATTCTTCATAAACTGCAGGATTTGAATTGCTGCTGTTTGGTTTTGATTAAAGGAAATTTTAGGAACAAATACAGATTACATCATTAGCATGCACAATTAATTATAATCAGCTGCAAACCTGCTGACTAGACAGCAAGTTAATGTCAAAGTGAAGCAGCAGAGCATAATAAATGAAGTGACTATTTGGACAGCATTACTTTTATAGCAGAGACGCATATTGTTTGTTTTGTTGGGTTTGTTTTTGGTGCTTTTTTTTAATAGCTTCAGTGGCAATTTTTGTCTTTTTGTGCACAAAAAGACAATCATTTCTCCCCCTGCAGAGAACAGCCTAGGACCATCTCAATCAGCCATTTCTTAAACAGCTTTGCAAGAAATCAGAGCTCTTGAACTGCAACAATACAGACTGGCTGGCAATTCTTGGGGAAAAAAAAAAATTCTCAAGAAGAGCACACAGATAAATCACACAACTCAAACCACCAACCAAAGCAACTGACCTCTGGCATCTCTTCTGTTATGATATCGACATGGTGAGCTGGAGCAATATCCTCCTCACTCTCCGTGTGCAGAGAATTATGGCGATGATGTTTACCTCTCTTCTCCTTTTTCTGTTTTTTCTTTTTCTTATCTTTCTCCAGCTTCTGTTTATGTCTTCGCTCCTCCTCCAATTTCACATACTGGTCAGACATAGGCATTCCTGTGGAGGAAGCCAAACTGCTTTCAGGCTACAGTCCACATGGACATTGATCACTAAAACAGTATGTTAGGAGTGAACCTTGCTTCTAGCTTCTCAGAATTAGAAGGATCAACACCTCTCTATGCTTCCATACCATCTCACATACAGTCCCCTCTAGCACCAGCTTTGCTACCACACTCCATCTCTCCAGAAACAGGAGAGAGCTCTATCCTGCTCTCTGATTCTTGTCCACGTTAACTGGATTACAAAAAGCATCTAAACATTGATATTAAGTAGAATTGATGCCATTGCTGTACTGACAACTTTCCACACTTTTGGAAAATAAATTTGTTATGTAAGCCTTAAATATTTGCACTTAGAACTCATCACTTGCAGTGTATTGCACTTTATCAGCAACTTTTCAGTGCTATATTAAACCACTCATTATATATATACAACTACCTTTTGATATTTGAAACAAGATATTAAAATAGTATCTCTACCATTAGACTCCACTTAATGTCTCCTGATCACTTTCATCAGCCCTTTAAGACGTTCCAAAGGTGACTGTTACCTACACAGAACAGTGGTTAGTTTACATGTTACAGACTTGGCTGCACAATATACTTAATCACAGAATTACTTCTAATACTGTCTTGAGAGGAACTGCATTTGGACTGCAAAGTACTATTTTCAAACACATGTAAGTTAAGGAGATATATTTAAGAGTCTAATGAGAGTATGCTCCTTGCCCTTAAAAACCTAAGGAGGAATTCCTAAGAAGGAATTATTACTTTTCCTTAACTGAATTTCTGTAACTAATTTTGAAGATTAGCTGCACTTACCTGGAACTTTTAAGGGGACAGAAAGGTCAATCTGGACCACGGGTATATGTTCCACACCTGGAGTGTCTTGATATCGCTGGGAAAATGAAAATTTGTTACATTCTGAGCATTGCCAGATTCAAATCCAGATAAGTGGACACATTTCAAAAACATCAAGCCATTTAATCCTTTAAGTGAACATTTTAAAGGATAGGAATGGAATAGCTCAGTACCAAATCCTGCGTGGTAGCAGAGTGTATTTTAAAGCCAGCTGATAACTATTATAAAAGACTCTACTTTTAGCTACAGTTTTTTAACACTGCTATTGCACTGAAGAAGGCTTTTTTGCAACTCTCAAGAATTTTTGGTTTGTGTTTTATTGCTAATAACTTGCCACTTCAAAAGATAAATTTTGAGATTTGAGTTGAAGAAAATGGGGCAGTCCTTAGGATATACAGGGAATAAAGCAGGGTCTTTCCCTGAAAAAGGTGTTAAGAGACCACAATGACTTTTTGATGCATAAAACACACTGCATGTTCAAGAGGAGCATGTTCTAGGTTCACTCTCTCTTCACTGCTCTTAATAAAGTGCCTGGCAATTTGAACCCTTCTATCACCCAGAGCTGGGACAAACTACCTGCACAGGAATTTGTGACGTAAGGGCACAGAGAGGAAGTGTTTCTCCACAGCTTTTAGAGAGTCCTTGCTGAAATATAAACACTACACTTTCCACGACAAGTTAATCCAGACTGTTCCAAACTACTGTGTAATGGTAGTTGGGATAATCACCACTTCCTTATTCCTAAAATGGAGGTCCACCAGAGATTCACAGAAAGCTGGCTGCTCTACAAGTAGGTCACTTGTGAGTTTCTCAACACAAACAAGGCTTATAAAAATAGTTGTAGGCAGCCACTTCAGTCAGCACACTAGTAAGTGATCAGAACTGCAGTGGAAATAATCAGAATGTCCCAGAGGGAAGCTGCAGCTCTGACATTCAGGAGGTCTTCACACAATTATATGAGAGGCCAGCAAGATATTTTAATTCAGACTCACTCACCTTCTGTGGGGAAGGAGAGCTTTTAATATAAAACGGGTTGTTTGCCTGTTCTTGTTTCCGGGCTTCTCGACGCTAAAAGTGGAAGAGTATTTGTCATTACAATGTTTGCTTATAAGCAGAGAGAGATAAAAGGCAAAGGACAAAATGCAATTGCCCTGAATTTCTGGAAAAATATGTATTACTTGCAAAAAGACTACAGCAAAGTAGGTAGCATATGATAAACCAGTTTTGAGTTACAAGGCATAGTAGGATGTAACTACAAGTACTGTTACTACTATAACTAATATTCCTTAGAAAACCCATTCTTTGCTTTTTAATTGTAGACTAGAGATAGTAACTTCCTGAAGACCAGATTTTGATGGCAATTCAAATATTTCTATTTTCGTCTTTGCAAAGAGAAGAAGTGAAGATTCTTATCAATAAAAAAATTTTTCTATGAAAACAAAAAGGTCAGAAACAGGAAAGGTGGTATCTACTACTGAGAACAGTCACATTACAGCAATTCATAGAAGCTGCTGAAGTCCATGAGCGAAGATGCTGATGCTTTTTCTGCTGATACAGAGCACACAGAATAACAGAAGCACACCAATGGAGGAGGTGTGTAAAAAACCACATAGCTGCAGAGCCCAGCACAAGTGTCCATCCTCAAGACCCTGTACTTCGAAGTGAACTGCACCAGACACCACAGTTTACAGGTCAGATTTTTGCAAGAACTCAAAACTCCTAATAAGGGCCAAGTTTTTATAATATCTTGCTTCCCTTTGGACAAGATAGGCAAGCTAGACTTCCAGAGAACTTTACATTGGATGTATTCCACAATGCCTAAAAAAATACATGTATTCAAATACATGTATTTTGTTCACATCGAATAATCAGATTTCCCGAGCTGCAGAGAGCAGAATGGCTCCCTGGCTAGACAGGGAATCCACAACAGCTCCAACTGCTTTAGTAGCACTTACAACATTACTACTGAATTATGTAGGAAAAGCACTTTAACATTCACTCACTCTGGCCAGTTCCTCTTCATCTATTTCTGGCTGTCTATGTCTGGAATGCCTTTGTTCCTCATCATGAAAAATTGTTTTAGGCTTTTCATCTTCAGACTCACTGTCTGATGGAGGTTCATTGATCCAGGCATCAAGGTCCAAGCTGGTAAGAATTGAGTAAACCAACAAACAGCTTGACTCAGTACCCCTGAGTAATTCAGTGCTTCTCATCATATACTTAGCTTTACTTTTTAAGAGTTTAAAAGTTTAAATAAGTCTTTGGGAGAGAGAAGGAACCTTACCCCTCTGGAACTGGTACTTTCTTCTGTGCTTTAGGAGCCACAGGGTTCAGCTCACCAGCAAACAGGGCTATCACTTCCTCAGCTACAGGTACTTCTTTTATTTGTAGCTTCTGAATATATTTTATTAGTTGCAAGATGCAGGAAGCCTAAAAACAAATGCAGAAGTACTTTCAGAATTAATATTAACAAACTGAACCAAAAAAATCAACTGATGAAAGTCAGCAGAAGATAATTCCCTTAATGGAGTAGAACAGTTAAGAGAAGCAACATAAACTGCAGGTTTAGAGCAAATGTAAAAAAAAAAATCCATGTTAACCCTCTCTTCTAGTTGTGTCCTTTTTGTGTCCTTATGTGGTTGCATAATTTCAAAATTTAACTCAAAACAATTTAAGTCTTGCAAGCAGTCTTTAGAGATGGTATCAAACTGGAATAAGATCTGGGCTCTGACATTTAATATCACCACTCTTCCCACTCTAGTTCTAGAGCTTCTCTTTCACTGACATACACAGTGAAAGCACAGAATAAGCACACCACTCCATTGATAACAATGGCTTATATAAAATGTGCATGTCCACAGAAAATTACATATATGCTCCAATACAAATGAGAGACTTTGCATGATAAATTCCAAAGTAATTTTGTTCTCTTACCCTCTCCTGAACTTCTAGATCGGCACTCTGTACAAACTGAGGTAAACGCTCAATCATCAGCTGTGTAATTTCCTGAGCTCCTTCCTTTTCCCCAGATTGCTCTTTCTGCTGTAGGATGGATGCATAGAGCTTCACCATATTCTGGACATAAACCGCCTGGATGTGGCCTGGTAAAGTTGTAACTTTAGGCCTCAACATTGCTTCTAAAGTTTGGTTTGCTTCCTCAAGGTGTCTATAAAGACAGAGTGGACAGACGAAAGACAGCAATCAAGAAATTTCAACATTTCATCAGTCTCCATGGAGAAGAACTTTTCAAAAACCTCAGCTGCAGTACAAAGTACTACAAAAAGACAGGACAGACCACAAATACATAATAATTTGATGTGTATTTCCCCTTCCAAATTACAATAGTAACATGGCACAGAAGAATTTACAGAAGAGGAGGGACACCTCAGTTTCCACCTTTACAAGTTCAGTATTCTCTCCATTAACTAAGCACTGCACTTCTAAGTGCCAACTCCATTGACAGGCTGGATCTGGCAGCCCAGCTACCTTCCTGCCATTCTGTACTTCACCACTCATGCATCAATGAGGTTGTATTTCCAATCATTTACTGAAAAATAAAATCTAGTAGGTAATGCTTAATACACAGAAAAGAATGCAGATCATAGCACTTGTTTTCATAAATCTCATGCCCTTATTCAGAATTGTCTGCTCACAACTAAATGGAAGATGCACAAAAAAGTTACCGGTCCATTACAAATGGAAAGCTAAAGTTCTTCCAAAGTAAAAATGTGATCAGACTGAAAAAGGAGAGTGTATTCTCTTGCTTCTTAATCTACAGTTTTCTTTGCAGAACTTTTTTAGTTAGATGAAGATGTCAGCTGTATGAATGTTCCCTAAAAGTATCACACCTACTATGCGAATTTATACTGGAACCAGTGTTCAGAGTGGCAATTACAAGAAGAGACACCAAATCAGATGATAAAAGGAGACTACAGTATCATGGTCTGTCCAGCTTACCAAAATCACAAGAGACAAAAACATCTATTTAAGCTAAAAGACAATGTTGCCACAAGAACATTGAAAATTGTGCTCCTGTGGGTACAGAGAAGTTTTGAGCAAAAAATAAGATGACTTCCAATTCTCAGGAAGATTAGGTTCTGCAAAAATCTTTCAACAAGGGCAAAACAGAGAGGAGAGCAAAAACTAATTCAGTCAAACATGGTGATTGGACATTTTCCTTATGATATAAGTGGGGTTAGACCTTAATGATTAAGGACTTCCTTCAATGTCTTAAGATCTTACAGCTTATACCCTCAACTATGCCTTCCTGCATGAGTGGGCAGGACTAGGGAGACAAGAAAAAAGACCAGATACTCAAAATGAAGTATCCATCTTGGCTAGAAACGACTAAGGAGTCTATTGGGTGAGGGATTGGGAAAGAAGCAATCATTTTGTTAGCTTTAGGGTGCGTATTTTGAACTATCCTTCTCAAAAATACTTTTCAGTGACTGCAATCTTTGTCCGAAAGAAACTGCTCAAAGCATATTGGGCTTTCTGTTTGCACTTACTCAGAGAACTCCCCACATATCCAAGCAGCAGCATAAAGCACCTCACAGATCCCATTTCTCTGGGTGTTGCTGGCTATGAGATGAGCATTGTCCAGAAGCATGGCCATTTGAGAAACTGCAAATTTACGAATAGCTTTAACTCTGATAGCTACATCTAACATCTGAGCTGCTATAAGATGCCCATGCCGTGTGCCTTCCAATCGGGTCAGCTCCACCAAGATGCTTATGTACCTACAAAATTGAAAGGGATGCAATTTTGTCAGTAGACAATCATGCAATTACCATTGCTGATGATCTCAAAGTTGACACATAAAAACACTGACCATTCAAAGTTTGTGATATATTGATAATTGGACTGACTACAAATATCTATGATTTTGGTCAGCAGCTCATCCCGGTATGTCGTCCCTTCTGCTTTATCCACGTGAATCATCAGTTTCTTCACTATCTCCATCAAGTTCTTCTTCGATACCTGTTAAAGAGTTATTGAAGGGTTGAACCACAACTAAGCCATTTCCCATACTGTCAAGTCTTCCTAATTCCATTAAAGCAGCTGCTAGCTCTTTGATGGACCTGTGTCGTGTTAACAAGAAATGAGAACCCCTAACTTTGGTCACAGTCAAAAAAAGGAACGTGATTATTTCTTTTCAGTGTTGTTGTTAAAGCAGAGCCAGCACAAATATACAAGACCATACTGTGGGACAGCTGAGAATCAGAATTACTAGTAGCAACACAGAAATCCAGGAGAAAATGATTCTTCTACTTCTGCCAGATTAGCAAATTTAATAGTTTAAAACATTTTTGCTTCTAAACTAAACAAATTTAAGAGTTATTAATATCCAATGGAATTCTAGCATTTCAAAACATAGCTGTATTAACTTGCTCTGGAAACTTATTTGTCTAAAGTGACCAAAATATTCAGTAAATATCACCAGTTGTTGTGACTTGCTGCTTCCAGCTATGATGTCTCAATAGGTACATGTTAAAGACATCACTAACAAAAATGTACGTAATAGTATTTCTACAATCATTCATTATATAGCACTCTTCCTCAGAGGCAGGGTTGAGCAAAATCATACACTTTTTCCTAGGTTATCTTTTGACTAAAGACATAACAAGCAGAATTTAACCTACAGGAACTAAGAACGAACTCCAATTCTCTTTGCAACAACATTAAAACCACTGTCCTGATCAAAGGTTATTGAAGTTATTCTCACCTCACGAGGAGTACCAGACAAAAGGTGCCCCTTCTTACTTTTCACTTTCTCCTCTAAAATAGGAAGCTATGAGACATATCTATCACAATCCCTTTGTGCATGTGGGAAGGGGCAGCACAGACTCTTGAGAGAAAGGCACTTTACTATATAAATCATAACCACAGTCCTTTCGGAGATCAAATGTTGTCACTACAAGATTGCTCCTGTAGCCTATGCACATTTTATAAACTGCCCTGCACAGCTGCAGAATGCACGCACAGGACTGGCGGCACACAGGAGAACAAACAGAATGAGATTCTGTACATGTCATTAAAAGGCGTAACAAAGTTTACAGCGACAGACAAATTCGACAGTAAAGCAGCTTAAAGCTGCATTCTCCTGTGGTTTTAGAGTGCTCCAGACTGTTTCCCAGACTGCATAACTTAGGTCAACCTGAGCACGGTGTGCTACAACATGGGCTGCAACCTAGAACAGCACAGACCTATCCCAGTATGCCTGCGGTCCACTTCATACCTAGACAAAGGACAGAAGGAGCAGCTAAGGCTTAGGCATTAGAAAAACAGCCTTCTGGGTAACTTCCACAGCACCTGAACTCAGAAACTCTTTCCAGTCTGAATCAAAGTTTTTAAAGCCCTTTCATGCTGTGCCAGATGTTTTATTTGTCCAAGTGCCAGAAAAGATATGGGAGTTATTATCACAAGACTACTGGGGAGAGAAGAGAAAGTTGCATGTTTTTCTTAAACATCAGCCTCCTAAAGGGTCACAGGGTCTGGAGAGGAAAGGAAATACATGTAGAAACATACCATGCCATACAGGAGATCTAAAGCTCTGAGTCGGATAGACTCATCTTTGTCATCCAAACACTGGAGAATGAGATCCTTGTGAGATTGAACTGATTTAGGATGCGTTTTCAGGATTTTGGACATAGCTAACAGTCCCAGGTATTTCACTGTGAAAAACAAAATGAAACTTCTTTGCAAATATAGAAACACTGTTTTGTGTTGAACATGAAATCTTAATACCAAGTGCTTCTACTGAAAGCAACTTTAATACACTTGAATAAATATCTGTGACAAGGAAAAGCATTTTTGAGAAACAGTGCATCACAGATTACAGCCTTTAATTTTGTAATCCCATATATAGGCACAGACTTACATATATAATCTTCATCACAGTCTTCTTGCACCTCAAATTTTATCATTGGTTCAAAAACATGTATTTAATATATAGAAACTATGGGTTTTGAGAACAGGCATCCTCGGATGAATGCAGGTTTAAAAGCACTGAAGATTGGTGTATTAAGTAGGAGCCCCATTCTCAATGGGAAAAATTCAGATGGCAGGAAAAAGGTTTGCACAAAAAAGGATTTCTCAGTATTCTTTGTAGTTACTAAAATAAGTAAGCATTCTTGCATTTTACTATTATGCTTACACTGTTGAACATCCCTCACTACTTTCCAAGCAGCAAGTTTATAAAAAGGGAAAACCCAGAGCATGAAAAAGAACTGGTTTAGATACAAGATCACAAAGAGCAGTAATAATTAATCTCATTTGTTTTAAAAAAGATCATTATAAAGAAGTGCTTGCTATCAAAAATTATTTCTGCATTAAAAATCCCAGCAATTGTTTACAACGTACCAGGCACTACAATACTGAACAAGCTGTTTGGAAAAACAGCTCATTGCTCTAAGACTGCTGCAATTTCTCCCCAGTGGTTGGTTGCTAAAAGCTTCCATGAAGACAAGCAACATACTTACAGTTCTGGTCAGAATCTTCTATCAATATTCTTAACTTCTGAACACAAAGCTGGAAAAAAGACACGTCATGCTTATTGCAAGCCCTAAAAGTCTTAATTAACTTAACTCTTCATGAAGTTTACTCAATACACAAGGAAGCATTATCACCAAGACCCAGGGTCTCTACGTAAGAAGGTCTTGTTGCATTAACAGATTTCAGAACAAAAAGAACCTCTGTATGATTGTATTGATAGCAGCTGAATAAGAGAGTTAGGAAAACTCTAAATGAGAAGAGTCTGCATTTTAGAGCAAAGGAAATAAGAGAATTTATATAGGAAATGCTTCAGTCCGTAGGATTCCACCTGAGTGGCTGTGCTTCAGGGAGCTATTGCTTTAACTTTTGGCAGAGGAACACAATCCAGTTTCTCCATGGCACTTAGTATTACACAGTGGAGCAGATCAAATAACCCCCACCAAAACCCAGTGTTGTACCTGGATGCTAGCGCTGTGATTAGGCATCCCAGAGGACAGAGAAATCAAAACTGCAATTACACAAGCACAAATTTCAGTTAGTATTTCTGTGTTCTGAATGAATGCAACAACACAACACCTAAAGGTCAACAGCTAGCTCAGCTCACAAGGGAAGATGCCAGTTTATTTTGTTTGTCTGTTTGCTTGGACTTTTGGGGGGCCTTGGGAGAGGAGAGGGGGTTGTGACACAAACTATAGTTTCATATACATTAAGAGCAATAATAGCAAGGCAGGAAAAAAAAAAGTGTAAAGGTAGGAACTGCTGGAACAGCCAGGTCAAAGCTGCTTTTCATTATGCTTTGCTCTCATTAAGGTTTACTGATCTCACGTAGCCGTCAAGACTGTAAATATGTCATCAGCTACTGTATAGCTGAATTTTTAAGTGTGTACTTCCCTAATGTAACGAGACACAGCAACAGATCCTAGAGTTTAATGTAATTACACTGAAGCTTTAATCAAGCCAGCAAGAGCCTCGAGGCACAAATTAGGTCCCATTGTTGATTCTATTGGACATTTGTACAGATCTGACAGCATGCAACCCCACAGCAGAAGAGGTGGTGTTACCTTGTTAACTGCTGCTGTCATATAGCACATCCATGCCAACACCAAATCTTACTGAGCAAGTCACACACGTTGACTTTAGTGACCAGTAAGTATAGTGGCATTTTGCTCTCCATAATCCTGCAGAGCTACATTTCAGAGAAGGCGTGTTGGATGCGATCATTTTGGGTCACGCAAAGAACTGGCAGGTGCAAAGTACTGCTCTAACGCAGGCACACAGCTTCACATCTCTTTCTGAATTTGACTTTTACATTACAGTCCCTGAGGTGTCCTGTGTGTGTGATTTTCCCTTTGACCCATAGAATTATCCTACTGTATCTTAGTGAAGCACACTCTCATCCTCAACGGAATTAACATCCATGTTATTTTTTCCCCCATCATAATGTCATTTCACATTTCCCTGAAGGAACAAACGAATACAATGTGAGTGACAGACCACCGCTTCCTCTTTGAACTGCCCCAGTACAGCAAGTTCCTGCACCATTATCCAAAATACCCACAAGAGACAGACTTATGGCCAAACTGTGGATGTCAATAACCCTCTACTTCCACACGATTGCAAAAGCACCAAGTCTGAGCTGGAATACTGTGTTACCCATTTTTGGCTTTGTTTCTCTCTCCATGCCTGTTACGCAGTTCACATCCCTTCCCCAGAAAGTGAAACTATAAATCAATGATTCCAAATACCTCCTTTAAGGAATTAGACTGAGTTTTTAAGCTGTGAAATTGTAGAATTAAAAAATATGTCCGCTCCTTCATCACATAAGAAAACTTTGTCAAAGTTTCCATGAGGCATCAGTCTTTTTAAAATTCTATTGCAGCTGGTATATTTCATGGTTCTAGCAACATTTAGGAGCTTGCGTATAATCACTAATTGTTCATACTTAATTTCAGCCTTTAGCAAATACAACATAGCTGTAGTAATTTAACCTTATCAACTGACAACAAAGGATTTAAGTTACAGTTACACAATAACACAAATCAAAGTTTGCCAGGTGACTTATTTCAGTTATAAAATACATTAGCTTAAAAAACAGGTTTACAGATGGTGTTAATTGATGACAAAGTTCATCATGTATTTTTCTAGGTTACAAATTTCAGTTCTCACCTGCTATTACTGTGTTCACACATTCATATAAGAGAGACATGGCTGAGGTGCTGAAACAGAAATCAAGTATTTTAAATACGGAATAAAACCGGCACATTTTGAAGAGTTGTCAGCAATATCTTGGAGCTAGTTAACACCTTTAATTACACAAGAAATTGCCAGTATTCTGTTCCATATACCTTCAAACTAGATGAAATGATTCTCACTTAAAAACTGTTGGGGGGAAGAAGGGCTACTGAATGTTTAACAATAACAACAACAAAATCTCCTTGGAGAAGCAGCAAGTAACAGCACTGTAACACAAGGAATAAGGAAGGAAGCAGTTACTCAAACCCTCAGTTCCAGTTACAGAGCACTGAAGCAATCTTGTCCAAGGGTCAAATTAAAACCTCTGCCCAAGGTCAAAAATTCACGATAAGGCAGGCAGATGGAGAACCTCAAGTCTCTCTCTCCAAAGAGAATGAGTCATGCACAGACAGCAGACTCTTCCAGCGTGCAGGTACCCACTTGCTCATCACTAAGCGAGCAACCCATTTTCAAGTCTGATTTCTCCCAAATCTTAAATTCAAGACAACTTTTGCCAGTTGAACATACATACAGTGCAATTCTGAGGATTTCAAAGGTACTTACAAATCCTGATCTACACAAGAGGGAAACACAGCAAACCTCACAAATAACAAAGGAACAGACTCCAGAAGCAAGGTCTGCAAAGGTAATGAGCAAACAACTCTGGAGGCAGCAGTCAGAAGCAATACCGTGAAGGTCACTCAGCACACCATATACGTGACTCTAGTACTCTCAGAACCAAGACAATCATTTTTGCTCCCTATGCACTTCGTGGTGGATGGCAGGGTGGTTTGCCTTATGCGTGATATGAGCACCAAAATGACTGATCGGAGATTAAACCGAACAGGATTAAGTCCTCACAAATAACAAAATGACTAATGTGGGAGTTGGGGAGAGGAGGTAGCGGCAGGATTGAAGACATACTATCCATCTTCCTGCTTTTTCTGGCGAAGTACTGTTTCTAGTGAATTTGTATCTATTTGTCACTGCTGCAAAAACCCTCTTTGGGTATTTGCATGCAAGGCTGCTGGCTGGTCTGCTCTGAACCAGCCTTAAAGGTATACTAGGAGGACAAACAGAAATTGTTTGGCTAAAGCTGCTCTCATAGCTACACAGGTATCTGTTTAAAATGTGCTCATTCCCATCTATCTTCTTGCTCTGCCACATGAACAGAAACAGACCTTTTAATTTAACAACTCGTGCATCAGATCACACTTTCTTTTTCTAACTGGGAAAATACATGTATTCCCTCCAAGACATCTACTTTCTGATTTCAGTTCTGAATTAGATCCAAAACAACACAACAAACCAGCTTTAACATGGGACAAGGAAAAATCTTCAAATCTATCTAATCTATATTTAGGACATATATGAAAGGAACCTCTTCCAAAACACGTCTGGCCTGACAAAGGCATGAGAAAGAAATTTAATATACTCCTTGTCATGCTGCTTTGGTGGGTAAGGCACTTCCAAAAAAATCAAGAACCAAGTGTGTGTAGGTTAACAGAAGAGGCAAATACACAGCTGAGACTCTTTTAAGCTACAGTTTTTATGTATTCTCCATAGACATCTCTATCTTAAAATGAAGTGAAAGGAAAGCAAATTGCTCCAACTTTCATGCATGCTTTGGAGAAATTCATGTTGACATTCAGACAGCTAAAGACTCTCCTTCAAGGTATTTTATCTCACTCAGGTTTTTGAGAAATAGTCCTGATGTAATTATCTCTTGATACTTGAAGCAAATATATTGAGACTCAAGAAAAAGTTCAGAAATGCACCCACAGACCTAGCTACTGACCTAAGAGCCACTTCACCAACCCTGAATGGACAAAGTAACATTTGTTATACATACCTATGGATGAGGTTGGTCAGAGGCTCAATCAGTTTCTTTCCCAGCCTAGGTTCTAATGGAGTAAGAGCACCAAACTATTAAAAAAGAAGTGCAGACAAGAAAGTGATTTAATAGCTGCTTTTAAACACTATAAAAACATGATTTAAATTGTAGATCATTATATTTAAACCAAACTATATTAAAATATTTTTCTCTTTGATTATGTTCACAAACACTAGAAGATATTCCTGGTTTCTTTTTATTTGAATTCAATGGTAACTATACTTCCAAGCAAGAAATCTATTTTTGCACTCAAGGTAATCTAATGAGAACCCAAATGCTGTAAACATAGATCCAGAATACTTGCCAGTTTTATAATTTTAATGAGAACCCAATTATTGGTTGACGACGTCATCAACTTGAAAAAGAGTGGAGCAAGGGAAAGGTAGTTTTTGGGATTGCGTCGAGCCAGCTCACAAATAACATTTACTGCAGCAGACTGCACACCTGGGAAAAAGAAGTGGGAAAAGCAGAAATCTCATCAACACCTTAATTGTAATTGAAGTTTCTGGTGCAGAACCCCCAGAACAAAAACAGCTGAAGATTCAGACTTGTGTGTCCAAGAGGAATGGTTCAGCCTCATTACCAACCATGAGGTAGTGAACTAAATACAAGAATGCAAAAACAAACTGAGAAATTATTTTATTTAATTTTGGCTATTTTTCTAATATATCAGCAAGCTGGGTATCTGCTTTGGGTCCAGTATTAGAAAGAACAGAACACTGCTAGCCTCCTTCCCCCTTTACTGTGGATAGCTTGTTTGTGGGACACAGACAACATAATAATCAATAATCCTACCTACCATAAAGTTTCCACTCTTGCTTCTTTAAAATGTATTTTTTAGACATGTTTAAATACAAAAATAATGAATCCTTAAACAATTTGACTGGACAAAGTTCATTCCCTTCTAATTATTCAGCCTCTACCTTGATCGTTACCAGTTTGGAATCTTTTAATCTAGATAGTCTGGGTATTCTAGTAGAGAGCAGTCCGTTTCTCCATAAAGTGTTATAGGCATTTTCTTCCTTTGTTTGCAGGTGAGGGGGGTGTGTATTTTGCTTTCCTTAAAAACATTGTCCCTGGAAGATGCATCTTACATGCCCACACCAAATTAGTCCAGTACATGCAATTAAATTTCTCCCTCTAAACAGACATGCAAATCAACTGGAGATCACCAAACTGTACTGCACGCAGAATTCTTGAAACAAGTGTATGGCATTTTGGTGCAGTGAGGGAAGACCAGCACCTTCCAGGAAGACTGAGTAGAAGTGTGAATATGATAAAGAGCAATTGCAAATTTCCTGTGCTGCAGCTGAATTGTACTGCCACAGTACCGAAGGGTCCAAACAGCAGTCGAGACTCAAAGTTTAAATTTAAAAAATAGAAAAGAAAAAAAATACTAAGCAATGTGAAATTATTTTAAGTACATCCATTGGAAGCCAATAGCTGCAGCTTTGTAAGAGAGCACAGGAAACAACAACAAAACCCCAAACCCTGAAATCAACTGAAACATGTTCAGTAGCCAAGTTAAGCAAGCAACAAACCAGGAAGCATTAAGTAGCTTTGTCCCATTAAGGTTTAATCCATTGATATAGTTTCAATAGCTTTGGGTTTGAAGTAAGAATTGGACATTTTAAAGAATGTATTTTTAATATGGCAACATCTGTCAAAACTCTCATATGCTCATCTACCTATTAAACAGGCGAATCAGTACCCAAAAGATGATTACAGCATTTTTTCATTAAATCTTCTCTCCACAAGCTCTAAATGCATGTATACCTAGATGTTTTGGAGCAGAAGTACTTCACTAAAATCCACTCACCAGGATCTGGATCTTCAAGTTTCTCTTTAAGGCGAGGAAATGCGGGACGGAGGGACTCTGGGTATTTCAAAAAAACTTTGTACATGATTAACACTGCCTTCTTCCTGATATAAGGCTTAGTATGAGACATCTGTTAATGAAACAATTGCAATCAGGCTCTTAGCAAATTTGTGTTTCCAGAGTTTATTCTCAAGGTCCTTATATCCACACTACTGTCTCAAAATTTCTTTCTGGGAGACTCAACTACTTCTTAAAAACTCAGCTTTGAGAGGAGAGCAAAATACTGTCATTTATCACCAAAACTAACAGAAATATTCAAGGTAATCCCCTTGAGCTAACCAAGGTCTCTAGAAGCTCCCCAAAAACCCCACAAGAACAAAGTGTCAGTTTTCACATGTAACAGTTCTAAATTTAACAGATATTTACCAGATTTGAACAATTTAACATTCTTTAATTACAGGAAAAAGTTATTTCAATCTTATCAACTCACCAGTGTCATGATGTCATTTGCCAAGTCCCTGGCAAGATCTGGAGTAACAAAACAGGACAAGCCAGTCAGTGCAACTCCAGTATCATATTGGTTAGGGCTACTCAGATCCTAAAAAAGGAAAAACAGGCTCAAAAATTTAAGATCACACAGGATGTTGAGAAACAATTTTCTCAGACCAGTTTTATTCACTCAACACACATGAAGCAGAGCTTCTACTTCATGGAGTATTTATATCAACTATTAACAGGAACGTCCTCCAACACCTGCTAAAGTACAGCTAACCTGGGGTTTAATACTGGGCATGAGGAATCATAATTAAACAATAGATGGATGGCTGCAACATAAAACCAATTAGAATATCGTACCTTGGGGGTATTTTAGGAACGGCAAAAAATTTTCCAAAACTCATGACATGATCGCAAATATGTTTAAAAATCCTTAAAAACTGGTATTAAATGCTAACACTGCTAAGTCAAAGCCCAACTGTCATCAACTTCACTGGGAACAGGCACTCTTGTCAAGTGCTGTTAGGCAACACTTAAGCTAAGTGTCCTAGCTTAATCTCTCTAATAGAGAAACGAGATTACTTTCCTTCCAAGCTGCTGGCAGCACCATAACTTTTGGTCCATAAAGATGTAACACAAGCTAGGGTGTAGAATACATTTTATTGGTCACGTTTCTTTGGACTTATTTGTAGTCAGTATCCTACATAGTCTTTCAAGTATTTCTGAGCTTCAGACTCTTAACAATATTAATATCCATATCTGAGTATTTTCAAGTATAGATTATAAAACCAAACCTCACTGAATACGGAGCATCACAGGATCACTCCTTAACTGCAGTTATTTGGAAACAAAAATACGAAGTGAACTGCACAGAGCATTCCCACATGAACTACCAGAATTAACTGTCCAGATTCACGTGTACAGGGAGGCTGCTTTAGGAGAGCTAAACATAGCCAGGCCTTCAGGGTTCTGTGCCACTTGCATCTCATTTTAAAACCTTTTGCAGGTGTTAGGAAATTAGATTCTACTTTAAGAATAATGAAATGTACTTCTTAAGGAGCAACAAAACTTTGCAATTCATTCCAGTTTTAATGTATTTTGATGATAAACCCTTAAAATACAAAGTTGCTAGATCAATGAAACATGAAAAAGCATCTTTATTTATGCCTTTAAGTAAAAACTCAGGCACAAAAAGAAAATAATAGCTTAGTAAGTGACTGGAAGTCAGTATACTAAGATCTCCATAATAAAGAAAATGGATGGACATCATTAAAAATACGCACTTGTCAGAGCAGAACAGTTTAAAAGATAAAGGGAAAAGCACTAGGTCTTTAGGAAAGATACTGGATAACATCCCACTGATCTTTTTTAAGCAAGTAAAAGACATTTTAGCTACTCAGATGGTAAAAATGTAGGCACATCTTGTACTGGATCAGTCAAGTTTTAAAGCAGTGATACTTTAAAAAAATTGAACTTAAGAGCTTTAAAAATATATCCGTAAGCTGAAGAATAGGAAAATAACCCTGCAACCCAATAACTCTGAAAAAATCCAAGTGATAAAGCCCCATGAAAATGAATACAGCACACTTCGGTACACTAATACAGAAGACAACTTTACATACACTCTTCATCATTTTTACACACAATTATACCAAACAAGTCAAAAGCCTGTTATTACCAGAAGAAAACAGGCCTTCACAAACAGAAACTTTGTGGAGCCAGGTGACTGGTCACTTCACCTCAGGAGTGGCGACATTTTTCTTACCCATTACATTCTTATAAGGGCTGCCTAAGAGGCTAGCGATATTAACAAAGGTTATTGTTGTCACCATTCACTGTGATGAATAAACACGGAGAGCTGGTATGAGACAGCATGAGGGAAGCCTATGGACAGCTTCTAAGTATTTCACTAATCCTTCAGCTTGTGGAATGAGCGTAGACTGTAAACCAAGTAAATAGAATTCTACTTAAAACACCTTTGTATTCCTAAAAGAGAAATACTGTGTACAGGTTTGAAAATACAAGTAGGAAGATAGTGCAAGAAAAAATAAGTACAAAGGTTTACCTTTCGGATCTGATTAGTAGTCAACATAATTACATCAGTTCCTTCATGAAAGCACTGAGAGGCAGCTAGGTAACCAATTCTCTGTAAAAAGGCAAGGAGAACAAAAAAAATTTTTAAAAGTTTAGGCAACATTTAGATGAACGACAACTGATAGCCTCATAAGCAATATTGAAAAGATGAACAATTAGGCAGGAGGTTTGCATAACAGAAGAGGCGTGACAGGGTTCTCTAGAAAAGGGGGTTTGTATTAGGAAAGAATAATCTCAGACAAGTAACATCTCTAGTGATAATAAATTTACCTTAAGGACAATAAAACTAGCTTCACCTTCTCTACTTTGTTAGAGCATACAGGTTCAATGACCATGAAGATGTAGAAATAAGGTAGGATTGTCAGTAGGAGAAATGGAGAATATTACATTTATTTTGTCTGTGTGGACTCCTGACTTTCAGGTACTAAAGCCCAATTTGGAAACTATTCCCTACAGAATAACATTCTACCCTGTTTGGTGAAAAAGGTCTGCAACACAGACCATGAACAAAACCTTTGAAGAAAAATTATAAAGCTATTACAAAATAAAATACGCCTGCTACTACAAATCCTAGGTGGTCTTCACATAAAATACCCTGTTTTTTCAAAAAAAGGTATCTGACAGCTATCTGGTAGAAAAAGCCTATACTAGCAGGCCAAGTATTATCCATATACTAGAAAACAATACAATCTACTTCCTTTCTGTATTGAAGAAAGCAAACCAAAAGATGATGTACCAATGCATTCATTAGATACAGTAATGAAACAGCTTGGCTAGTACAGTTGCAGTTACACAGAGAACTCACTTTGAATGTAAACTTTGATGCACTCATGACTTCAATAATATTGAAAGCAGCCCAACTGATGTCGTAGCCCAGCATCTGTAACTGTGAGCAGAGAAGCCAAGACAACATTAACTTCTGAAATAAGAGACTCAAGAAAATAGGTCAAGATACCTCACAAATTTGAAGACGTAACAAGAGTCCAATAAAAATACTATAAGACATCTCAAGTTTATGAGTAATGTTACATTCTATGCCACTCACAGTAAGTGAAAGAAGTCTCACGGTTCCATCAGAAGCAAGTTTTAAATAGTTTACATTAATTCCAGGTAATACATATGCAGTTATATAAGCATCCCTGTGAAGGGGGTTTTTTCCTGCTTTTTTTTTTTTAAAATAAAAACCAGAACAAGACCACAAAAATAATTCTTTAACAGCATTTCCCTCCTCTTCTTCTTGACAAAGGACTGCACAAAGAGAAACAAACACCAGTTTCAAGTGCTCATGCAACTGTGCTAAGAAACAATCCAGTTGAAAACAACTTTTAAAAATTGGATTAGTTTGAAATCAGATTAGCTTCCTGACCTTTCTCAATAAAATTGTACCAATATTAGTGCCAGCACAATGAACAGAACAGGAATATCCAGCCTCTGATGTCAGACACATGTGGGAACATTTTCACCTGCAGCCTTGCACTTAACAACAGTCTAAGAAACTGAAGTCTAAGAAAAGCAGGCATTCAGACCAAAGACTAGCTCCTAGTCAGCAAGAAAGAAAAAAATAAAGATGCGATTACATCGTATCCCAGCAAGGCACTCACATATGTAAGTTTGCAGACTGCATTTGCTTTCACTGCAATGTTATCCTGCTTTAGCTCCTGCTTGATCTCATCAATGCACTGGGAGATGTATTTTGCCTGAGGAAAACAAACAAGAATTTGTACTCATTTACCAGTTTTGTCAATTTCCAGCATGTTAGTGGGGAGAAGCAGCAGAAGTCATCATTTGCAAGCACCAAATCTCACAGACACACGCAATTTAGGTAAGCACTTAATTCTGATGAAACTACTCATTAACAAGAAACATCACAATTCTATTACAAAACCGAAAGTACATCGAGGTGTTTCTTCAGTGGTTTCCCTTTTCTGCCCTCTCCCTTGCAATTACACTGTTCAGTCCAGAGCTCTAGTTTCAAAGACCAGTGAAAAAAAGTTGGTCAATGGAGATCATGTACCTAGTGGTCCGAACAAAACCTGAGTTCCAGTGTTCCTAGAACATACATTAGTCACTTACCTCAACAGGAAATCAAGAGATCACCCATTCATTACATGTCTAGAAAACACTACGTCAAACACTATTAATAGCCCACAAATTTAAGGTGACTGATGAGTTACTCTTCTTCTGGGCACACTGTATACAGATGGCACTGCAGATGTGCACCCACAACAGTCCTCATGCCTGAAGGGACAGAGCACAAGTCTTATACAGGATACAGGTACTTCTGGTTGTAACCCTTGCCATTCCCCCCCAGCCATGGCAAGGACACCCCCTCCCTGGTTCACGACTCAGATGAGCGATTTTACCATTTACACATTTTGATAACCAACAGTTATTTGTATGAACTTCTCAGTAATTCAGAACACCAAATGTCACAATGTTTACAGTTAAATATTGGTCCTTAATTTCTTTCCAAACACAATCACATCTGTGCTTGTGGGAGGGATGTGGCAAATGCATAATTTAAAAATATCTGTACAGATTTTACAAGTAGGGTTAGCTCAGTGATTTTTTCAGTTCACAATTAATTATGATTTGAGTACTGAAGGTATCTATCTGCTACAGAAATCATGAAAATTTAAATGCAGAGAAATAATCTCTCTTTTAAAAGCCACACATGCACCAGGGCATTTCACATTCCATATAAATAAGTGAACGGCCAGAGGAACCAGGTCAGAAACAGATTACCTAGTTTCAAAGTAAAATCCTGCCTGAATACCATTACCTTCCACCAAAAAGATACTTTCAACATAGAAGTCTACTGTCCTGCCTTTAATTAACATTTCTCTCCTTTATACTAAATTTTGTGTATTATCCCAACCATTCTCCTGTCTTTTACAAATGTCCTAGAGCGATATTCATACTTCAAGTCATGAAAGTTTGCTGCTAGAAGCAGAGAAAGTTATTTTTAATAAATAGCAGGCGACAATAAAAAGAAGTTGTACAAGGTCTGTAGTGCAAAGAGACACTGCAATGATCCAGGTGAGGAAAGGTAGCAACTGAATTTTAATGCAGGGACTTCATACTCCAAGCAGCAGTCATGTAACAATTTACACTGCTATCATTCAGAGTCTAGCAATAGCAGAATTAGAATCCACCATCAGGAGACATGGTGAATACACATACTTCAGAGAAGCAGCAGCTTCACTGGTTTAACAGCTTCTATAGAAGCAGAATAATTTATCTGGCTTTTCTCTCAAACCCTGCACTTACAGAAGGATAAAAGTCAGCTCCTCCATGGCACTGGTAAGCTCACGTGGAAACACATTTGTTATTTTGAGACTTTTACTAAAAGTCTTTGTTGACCTTCATTGAGCTCCTGTCTGACCCATGCCTGCAGCCTATGGAGGTCCCTCAAACAGCAGCCCTGCTCTCCAGCATGATGTAACTCAAAAGGTCTGATGGATGAAAGTGGGCAAATGAGTTTACTTGAAGAAATTTAAGATACTCCTAAATGCCTGTATTTGGGATAGAAAGACTATCTTTGCAATGGGAATTTTCATGTTAAGGGAGGGCATGCTAAATGCCAAACAACCCTTTCCTCTACAAAGATACCCATCTGTCCTCCTTGATATGGGGAAGTGGATCACATCTGCCAAAACTGGAGATGGCATTGCCCCCAAACGCTTAACAACGTAGAATCCAGGTGACTTCTCCCTGGACGCAGAAGATTTGGAATTTTAAACCCTTTGCCTGAGAGTGATTCAGGTCCAGAAAACTCCCACAGGAAGTTTAAACTCTTGAGTATAAACTAAAAAAAAATTCTGATAATAGAAAATAAATACTTGATCGGAGATGCTGAAAGAATGACTTATACAACATGCAATTGATCTACAAATATATTGTACCTAGCCTTGAATATTTTATGCACAGATAAGAGCACACTGGAACAGTGTCACAGAATCCTTCACATGTGTATCTCGTTGCTGTATCTTGGTCAGCAAGGTCAGCACTGGTTCTCAGAGCAGAATACTAACACGCAGGTTCTCAGTCTTTATATCCATAACCAGAAAGCATTATTGTCATTTCCCACAGCACCTATCCCCAAACTATTTAAACATCAGCTTAAGTTTCCTGGCAACCTCTTGGGAGTTGAACACAAACCACTGTGTGACCGGGGTGGGGAAAGTACATAAAAGTTCAATAACATACAGCCCCACACAGCCAAATACAGTCACTAGCCACACTCGATGGCCCCAGTTGTCTGCAGGCAAACCCCTGTCTACCAGCCAGCCTAACATAATGAGCAACTTCTGGAAAAGTATATTACAGAACTCGGAATCAGATCTGAAATTAAAATAAGGGATTTTGAAGAGCAGAAAGGCGTCCTTCCAAAATAGCTGTACTTCAAATCCTAAGACTACAAGGAATGAAAGACCCTATATATAGAAAGCTTTAGAGGATCAGCAGGTATTAACTTTTTGTTAATCTCTGCAGAGTTGCACTGTCATGAATGAGCAATATGAAGAAAACTGATCTACTTAGTCTCCCGCTTAAATCTGAAACCCAACCAGCACACCGTAGCCAGATTTGCTACCACATTTAACATCTACATACATACAAAGGAACAAGTAGGCGTGTGTGGATCTTCAGCAAAGCTCTTCCCTGGTCTCTGCCTAGTGGAATTGCTGATCTCTGCAAAGCACCGGACAGGAGGCCGCACCAAAGCATTTTCATGCTGACCAACACCCTCAGAGGCCCCACACTGCAGCCTGCACGCTGTTCAATGGAGTCAAACTAGACAGTAAAAGGGAGAACAACCACTTGATGCCATGAACTAAAAATGGCAGTCACTCAGCAAGGCCCACATATTTGCAGGGAAAAAAAAAAAATTTACATACTGAAACAGGACAAAATCTGGGTATCTTTCCGAGCATTGATTCACTGATAGTTTTTGCATAAATCCTTCTAATATAGCAATTTCCTAGGGTGGTAATTAAAAACAAATACTTGCCAGGATATAACCGGCTCAGTTTTTCCTTAAATGCTTTTGAGATCCCATGAAGAAAGGAATGCAAAAGGAAAATACTTCAGAGTTCACTTATGTTCCCAGTATTCATTATAATATCAGTATATTTCCTAACTATTAATTCCTTACTAATTCTGTGACAGTCTTAACTTGAAGTCTTCCTGGGATGCTACTCAATTGCTCACACATTTTGGCTAGTCAACCGAGGAGGACTTCCAAGTCACAATATTTATAGACCTTTGGACATTCCCAGCCGGACTGCTTTGAGCAAGCAAGGCAATTATAAGGCAGCCTTTCACTCCCGGTGTAGTCGAGAACAAGCAGAGCCATTAAGTTAAAGAACACCCTCAGAATGATGGCAATCCAGGCAAAGCTGCAACTCTGCAGTCAAAAGCTGAAGGGCATATGATAATACAGGGAAAAGAGCTGAGAGGAGCTCTTTTATTTGTGCTAGGCTGCCAAGTGGGAAAGGAGCCTTTCCCAACTCGGTAGAAAAGCCTCCTTAATGAAATGCTATAGCAACCACTTGGGTGATTGTTTTCTCTCCCATATCCCTCAGAAGGAGGAAGATTATAGAAACACACTCAGAGCAGCGCAGCTAAAGAACAAGTAAAGCATGCAGATGTTAGCAGTAATTACTCAACAAAGCCATGAATACAGCGCAAAGTCGTAACTGCCATTTCTTAATGTATTCCAAACAGATGCAGTAAGCATTTTACATCCATTAACAAAATACACAAGCTAATTTTAAAAATAAGCCCAAATTCCTCAAGAATTCCAAGACCTCACCTAGAAAACATGTGCGTTTAAACAAGTGCAAGTGGCTAAAATAAGAATGAAGGTATCACAAATCAAAGACGAAATCCCCTTGAAACAGAGGGAGGGAGGAAGGGAAAAGTGGGTCATGGTAAGAAGCCAAAATGTCAGTTTATAGGATTTTTCATTTCCCAAGCCATGTTTTTTGAATTAACTTCAAAAAAACCTCTAAAACTTCATTCCAAGCTCTGGCCAAGACAGAACTTGGGGTTTGCTGACAATTTCAAAGATGTTCATAAAAGACTAATTTTTTTTAAGCAATAAGTGAAGGAAGTTGAAAAATCACTAATCTAACTGAACAACAATTATGTTCCTAGGAAATGTGACTCTCTATGCTATACTTTCATCAGCTGATGAGAAGACACTAACAATTAGAATGGATACCACTGCAGAACCTTTACATTAAATTTAATCATGAAAGCTATTAATTTCCAATACTCTTAAAGAAGCTGTACTTACCTCAGCCATATACAATCTTCTGAAACCAAGAGAAGGCAAACTTGTATTCTTACTGCTTAGGGTTACAGTCCAGCAAACCAAACGCAGCAGAATCTTCCACCAAAGTCCTTGTCAGGATCCAGCCTCAATACACTGGATCTGCTGCAGCTGATTTGAGATTCAAACCTGTCACTTACTGCAACAGCGAAGTGCTTCCCACCCAGATGAAACAGTAAAATGTCAGTGAACATTAGTCCCTATTTCTCTTGCACTTTCAGGATTAAATACAGTGTTTTAAGGAAAGGATGATTAACAGTGAACGTCCCAAGTAGCAAGATATGATCCGATATAAATGCGTAACTACACCATTCTAAAACAGAAAAAGTTCGGAATAAGTAGAACATAAAAATAAGTAAC